TCAGACAACCCTTATCAAGCGACAACTCAATGCAAAACAAAAGCAAATGACCAAAATTGATGCGAAGCCTAAAAAAGCAAAATCGTGCCCAAGAGCTATAAAAATCTTTCGCCGAGTACTCAAGAAAAAACCTTGAAAAAGCGATAGCGAGCTTGCAGATCCAACATAATCACCAATCGAAACGGCAGAATCGTTGCTAATTTTGTGATGTGCAAACAAAGAATCACCAACTGATGTCAACGAAGAAGGCCCGAAAGGCGAACTCGGACCGGGAATTTGTAACGGTGATGTTGCAGAAGGAAATCCTTTAAAAAAAAAGATCATAAAAATAAAAGAAGAGGGAAAATCAATAATATAAGCGAAAGTCGCACAAAGTCCAATTAGAATGGTGCCAGTGAATAACACGGACGCTTTCGAAGCAACAAACAAAACAGAAATCTATAATTACAACAGCACTATAACTGACCGCTAGTTGAAAAGACGTCTCCTAACAGCTTATTTTCTTTAACTTCAGTTATTGGTGACAAAGCCGAATTAGAGATTTCATCAAGAGGAATTTCGTCTATAGCGTTTGGAAGGACCCGCAAAGAATTTTCGCCGACAGTCCTTGGTAAATTATTGAAAGCAGAGTATGAGGGTAACGATGAAACCAGACTGTCACCACTAACGGAAAATCCTAAAAAGACCAAATTTGATTTCTGAAGAGTTGCTTTTAAGCAGATAAATAAAGGAAATTAAAAAACCTAAAAATATTATTTGAAAGTACCTAAATCTAGTGGTCCCATTGTAAGGGAGGAGGTTCGCATACGACCGGCAGCTGCATCGTTGTTGCGTTGAGGCTAAATCAGATTTTAAAAAATTAATAAGTTGAAAGAAACGAAGAAATTAGAAAATTATGCTAAAAAAACGATATACGGTCGCACCCTCAAGTGACCAGTCTTGAAAAAAACTTTGCCATAACTGTCCGACAGACAAACTGCTTAACTCTCTTACCGACATTTGAGCCCTTTCGTAGCCCGGAGCTTTAAAATAACTGTTCTGGTTTTGTGAATCTTCCGAAGTATTTTTGGTCTGTGATTGTCGGTGTTTTAAAACAGCCTAAAGAGGATTTAAAAAAATTAATATAGCCAAAATTCAACTTTGGATAGCTGACCTGGCAGAAACCCATGCGAGAATCCAATAAAAACACAAGTAAAAAGTACCGAATAAGTAGGCGTCGTTCCTGAAGTGAAATGTGTTGAAATACTTGTGTTGTTAGAATCTAAATTAGTTTAATTCAGGTAAATGAGCATAAAATTCATCCCTAGATATCCTTCGTTTTCAAACTAACTTCCACATAAAGAATTCCATATGACTTACTGATAAAGAAAACCCTCTAATGAGCATGGCTTTATTTAAAAATCATGAGGCTCTACCCCAACAGTGTTGAGCCAAACAAGTTTGTCATCGCCATACTCTGAATTTAAGATTAAATGAAAAATGACCGGCTTTCTTTTTTATCCTCACATCGTGACAAACTGATTCTTAAATTCGTCACCTCAGATAACTAACCTGTGTGTGAGACTGGTGAGGGAGCACTTGCAGTGGTATTTTCAGGAACGATCGGTGCCGGGGCATTTGAAGTTGTTCCAGCAGACTTATAGTACGGAACGCGTTGGACATCAAGCTCCGAATCGTGATGAGCAAATGCACAAAAAACCCCTCGAGGACAATAGCCGTGTTCTAACATATTATTACATTTCGTTGACTTATAGATATCCGGATGGAACTGTTGTTCAGTTCGGGTATGGCAGTAACCACATTCAGAACCATTTTCACACTGCTCTGGTTCTAACCACTCATCACCCGATTTTGCTGCTGGGCAAGGAGTAGATCTAAATAAAAAATTATTCAACAAGAAGTGGTAATAAAACGAACGAAAGTAAAAAAACTTCAAAGTATTTTCTATTCGAATGGTGGGGATTACCTGTATTTATACAAAGCTGGCGGCCTTCTCCTGTCCTTGGAACTGTGATAGAATGGACAAGCATAGCCCTGACGGCAGAGTCGTGCAGGTTTCCGACACTGCTCCGTTTTGTAACAGGAAAGGACGTGCATTTGATCTATAAACAAAAAATCATATAAATAAAGTAAATTATGACTGACGACAAAAGCATACAACATATCCTCTTTACAAGAGGCCTAAGAAATATAATTTGATAAAAATTACGAATAAAGACACCCTGCTGTCAAAGGCAAGTTACTAATGAAACGAAATTTCACCATTCCAAATAGGATCTTCGATGACGAAGCTTGTTTTGTCACGATTCTCTGAATCCAGTAGTGACCCATCATAAGACTCTAACGCGTCATGTAAAGGCTGTCTTAGGTCCTGAGTACTATGGGCAAAAGCGCAGTGAGCTCCGTTCTTTGAACAAAGCCCCCGGGCATCTGTTGGGTGCACACATAATGCTGTTTTGTAATACCGAGGATGATACTTCCGTTCCACATCTCCAGCAACTCGATGCAAGAACTCGCAACTGAAGTAAATAATTTGACAGTCAGATTGCAAAAAAACGTCGAAATCAGAATATATTTGAAATAAACGACTAAATATTTTCATAAATAGCAGAAATTTAATAAAGCATTACAAAAAAACTCGAAAGTATTCCAAAATTCTTTCTCCCGTTTAATTCCTGAACACCAAATTTTGTAAGCCTTGATCCAGCCGGCAAGGAAAATGCTAGTGGAGAAAAACTGTGTCAACATATGACACCCTATTTCCTCCTCTTCTTTAAATAAGCAATACCTGTCACCATCGGGACAATCTCCAGTATTTTCATCGTATTTATCGCAATATACACCAGCTGAATAATTAAAAGTGCCGTCTTCTCTACGAACTGGTCGTCTTCTCCTCTGATTTGCAAAGTGATAATTAAAACAAGTATAAGGGCGATGCTGTTGACATTGATGTTGTTTGAACTGTTCGCACGGCTTTACCCGGAACTCCAAAAGATAACTGCAAAATTTAAAATAAACAACGTTGATTTTGGTAATTTTCGGTCTTTGCCAAACCGAATTACTTGACACGATTTACACAAGGAGATCCAATCAGTCTCACAACGATCTAATTAAATAAAATTTTATGTTGCTTAGTTAATGCAATTCAAGACTATTTCTCGCCATAGCAGTCAGAAATTTTTACAGAAGTTAAGATGATTCGCATGCCTAAAAGAAAGCAATTGACAATTTTTAAAGACGTTTCGACTTATGACACAAAACAACAATAAAAATTTCTCCTCAGCGATCTCTTCTAACTGGAGTGCAAATTTGTTTATAAACTAAAGAATGAAGGAAAATCGAGAGAATGAAAAAGCAATTTGTCAACTATATTTTTGCAAGCTAATAAGTAACTGTTACAGAACCTTATCAGGTCATTTTGATACTGAACATCGGTGAGACGACTGTCACGCTGAGATGAATATCCCCAGCAGTGTAGTCTGAAAAGACTGAGGAAAAAAACTGAGGCTAGGACATTTCGAACTGCAACTCTGCAAGTTCCTGCCGGCCACACTAACAAGAATACGCTTACTTATTATCTAACTAGCTCCGTAACGACAGCTTTCCATTCACTTCATCAAACGTATTTTGCATCAGGTCCCAATGTACTCTTTTTAAATCTTCCCTTCATCGATAGGTACACAGTAGTTTCGAAACAAACTTGTTTATGCTCTATCATCAACGGTCTTTTCTTCGAAAACTGACGCGGCAAGCTCCATTCCATCGTCTGTGCCTTTAAGATTCGTCGACTTCATCATCTTTTGCAACTGCCTAATTTAAGCAGTTTACTCTCTATTACTCTGTTCCTCAATACTTTCAAAATCGAAAGCCGACAAAAAAAAGAAATACCCTCAAAATGCATATATCAAAGCACCTCCTAAATTCTCCAGCTATAGTAATCCACCATAATAACCAAAAAGGATTCAAATGACGTGAGAAGTCAACTTCTAGGACTTGGACTACTCAAACCGTCTCCGCTCAAAAATGTTATGCCTCTTAAACTTAAACAATAGCCGTGATCTAAAAACCAAGAAAAAAAACGTATTGATCACACAAACCACTTTAAGTTAAGCTTCTCAACGACTCTCCTCCATATTTCTACTTATTCTTCTAAGATGGTTCTCTATCCTTCCGCTCACAAAAATTGAACAGGAGGAAAAATCACTTCACACTATTAAAGCGTTAAAAGCTAGAAGAGGGAAAACATCTACTTTCTACACCGTATGAACTATTGTCACCAAAAAAATGTGAGCAAACTAATTTTCTTTGGTTTAAAATGTGTAACTCTACTTCTGAAGGAATAAGGGGACCAGGTCAACTCAACAAAACGGTGTACTTGTCGCGTATTATGGAGAAGATCAAGCCAAACGGGAAAAGTTTCAAGGATAATCACCAGACTTTTCACAGTGATATGGAAAAACAAGTGAGAAAAAAAAAAAAAA